TCTCAATTTTACAATTTGAAACCATCTACCTCCAAGGATAATTCTCACCAAGTAAAAATAATTTCCTACAGAAAGTTGTCAAAATATACCCAAAAGTGTTATTTCCCTATATAAACTATAGTAAACTTTACCCCCTCCCCAAGGGAGAACGGACAGCTCGGGGGTCCTGAAATTTATAATTTAAGTAAAGCCTCTCATGATCTTTCTTTCCACGCAGAGAAAATGAGTGTAGTACCTCTGAGTCTGAAGAAGAAGATTTTTGAAATATTTGTTAATTTTCCCTTTCGGGCCCTGCCCTGGCCCCAGGGGTTGGGGTAGGAATCCCAATTTTACAATTTTGAAGCCTCATCTACCAAGGATAATTCTGACCAAGTTTGAAAAAAATCCATCCACTGGTTCTTGAGAAGAAGTTGAAAATGTAAAAGTTTACGCACGGCGGACGACGGACGACGACGGACGAAAAGCGATTAGAATAGGTCACTTGAGCAAAGCTCAGGTGACCTAAAAATAGTCGTGTAGAAACTAAAGTGTGTACATCGACCAATTAAAATGCAGTATGCTAATTAAATTAGACAAAAATTCCTGACCCCAACACATGTAATTACCTTGATACTTGGCTGGGCAGGTACGTCCTAGCAAAGAAAGCTGCCTCAGGTATCCGTTCAGTTCTGATTAAAACTTCTAAACACTCCTCCAGTCTACAAAGAAAGCATATTTGTTACATAGCTCTCAATAATTTACTGAAGATAACCATTCACATTCAATATGTGAAAAAAGCAGAGTATTAAGCACACTTATTCACAAACATTATTTCTGAGTAATCTACATAAGGTATACAACAAGGTAAACATTACTTACTTTCCAAGAGTAAACATTGAGATGAAGGCAACATTATTTTGACCAGCATTTGCTGCAGTTTCACCAAGTCTGGCCACCATCTGATTGTTGCCTGCTGAGCTGGCAAGAAGAAGGAGACCACCGAAGTCCTGTGCTTGATGTAAACATTCCTGGGCTAGTCCAAACTCGCACTTACTAATTGCCAACTCTGCAAGCTGCTTCCATTTCTGTTCTGCCTGAAATGTGGGGGATGACAGGAGACGGTGAATTGAAGTCATTCAGTTATTAACGTTGTACAGTACCACGTTATAAGTGGGGTGAGAGACAGATGAAGTAAAAAGGTAGAATAAAGGTAGAAAACATAATACTATTATTTGCAAAGCTTCCTAGTTTTTAACCTCTTGAAATTTCAATGAAACAAGAGAAAATAAAAATTGTGGCTTAAACATTGGTCCTTAACAAACACATTTTTCATAAATGTTGTGTAGACATTTCCAATCTAATCTGTATTGAAATTATCTGTGATTTGTTTATTATTACTATAAACATCTTTTTATGCATACAGTTTCTCCCATTAAATTAAGTGTTTTTATATGATGTTGTGAAACTCCGTGACTGCATTGTGATCAGCAGGGTTAGAATCTTAGTCTGGCCTCGTTGCATTTTTTACTTGGAACACTAACTGTAGTTGATTTATTTATTTCAACAATTTTTTTTTTAGTTCTACAAGGTATGGGTATCTATTCAGATATGGCTTATTAAAGCTACTCTCATGTAGGTGCAATAAGTTGCAATTCTTAGTTTATCCTTTTTTCACTATGGTACAGGGATTTTGTTTGCTTGAAAAAGATCAGGCCTTTGTCAAGGTTTTACCAGCTACTTCTTAAGAAAACATTTTTTTCTCTCTAAAGAAACGAAAGTACTGCAGGGACAGAACAATATACTCTCAGCTATAGATCCTAAGATATTACAGAAACCAAGGAATGGACAGATGGAACTATGCATACTATATAACTTTTGTCTCTTCAAAATTTAAGTGGTATAAAAGAAGCAAATTTCATGCTAGTGAAAGGACAAATGATCCTCGTTATTTTCAGGATTCCTGTCCCACTGCACTGTGGGTTTTTTCATATATATACAGTAACCTTCCCTTTATTTCGTTGTAGCACTGTTTAATTAATCTTGACACTTCTGTTGATTAGGTAGCTCAGTGAGTTAAAGCGATAGTGTAACAATCTTGAAGTCCTGGGTTCAAATCCCGGTTTAGTTCCGTTGAACATTAATTACCTGTTGTTGATTATTCTTATATTTATTTCTTCTGCATTCATCCCAATAAAAGTGCTGCAAGATTTTTCATGCCCAGGGGTGTAGGATAGGGACATTCCACCCGTTTTATTTTCAAATTCCGTAAAACCGAGGCTTTGCAGAGTGTTTTTCATTCCTTGGGCATGAAAGAGTATTTTTCTCTCATTCCAACCACAAGAATAAGCCCAGAAACCATGAAAATGAATGGCCACCATTTTGAAAATATAATTTTTCCCCCTGAGCGAAAACGAATCAGCCAGCCAGATTAAGCTTTTCCCATATTTGCAAACAATGTTTGCGCAGAAAAATTAATCACATCTCTTTAACGTGTACAGTATATATATTGTAAAAGTGTTTTATTTCATTAGGTCGCCTTTTCCGCATTGTGGAATTGGAAAGTTCCAAATTTGTGACGTCACGTCATTGTTGACCCATTGTGACTTCACGTCACATGAAATGGGGTGTAAGATAGAAATTTCCTACACCCATTTCTTACCCTGGACAGCTCTACCTTACACACAGGGAAATGAGAGAAATGATTTTCTTTTCAGAGGTGATTTATCAAAGCTTTAGTCATGGCGACAAAATTGGTTTTCAGTGCATAGTTAGTTTTGGCAGTGGTACAGGATTGATTTTCACTAGCCTGACATCAATAAGTTATAATCTCACCTCTGACTCTTTAGCTATCTGGTATGCAATCTTCAGATCTCCCAGTTGTACAGCCAGTTCAAACTTATGTTCAGAATCATATGTGACTGCTAGTGCTTGAGATTTAAATCCCTGGAAAACAAAACCACAACAATCCTGTGTATACTGACTTTCAAAACAATTCTCACTCTGACATGGAAAATAATATTATGATAGGCAAACTGCTCAATACATTTGACTGACAACATTAAAATTATGAAAAAAGATGCGACTGAAAGACTATAGATGAACCAGAGCAGGTTTTCCATTTTTGCTAAAAATGTTTTGCTTTCTGTTAACATTATCACTCACTGGTCTTCAGATGATCGATTTGAATAAAATGTATTTAACCAGCAGCTTTAATTTTGTATCAAAATTTATATTTGCTATTTTTCAAATTTAACTTAAAATGATTATGGTAAGAACCAGGAGACGAAGAAATTGCCATCAGACCTGTTTTTCGAGGAAATGTGCCACTCTTGTCCGATGTTCCCTGGGAACAGTAGGCAGAACCTTATCAGCTGTCTCAAAGTCTCGCCTCATCACCGAGGTCTGGTACTCCAGTACAGAGAGGAGCAGAGAATAGCTGACAACATTTAGTTCTTTATCACCAAGATAGAGTCTGTTGTCCTTCGGGATGTACCCTAGGAGGTACATCATTCTGAAATAGTTTTTTAGAGGATCATCAGTAACTATTACCATTAAACTCTCAAATCTTATAAATAAAATCAGTCACTATTTGAAAAACAAATTTCAGGTTCATATATGCATAATCTTGTAACAGATTAACAGAGGTTCTATGAAATACAAACTGTAAAACCCTATATAGCTTTAATCAATCAATAACTGGGCCAAGTTGTTCAAAACGTGATTAGCTTAATCAGTAATTAGCACAAAATTCATGTTTTGTGTATCTTTAAAACAATACCATTAATTGAGATAAAACTTTCCAGATAGCAAATATTATAGTGGAGGTTTTACCTTGTACCTTGATCAAATTATTGGAAGATGAAAACGTCTTAAAACAGTGATTAAGCTATACATCTTTAGAATAACTGGGTCCTAATGAATAAAGTTTTAAGTTATAGGCAATATTGTTAACATTTGACTCATCTGATTACAAAAAGAACAAAAACACAAATATTTTATCGGTTTTAAACAAGTGAATGGCCACATGGTCTGTTTATTACAATTACCTATCTAAGTGAGCAACTGTGACGATCTCCCCTCCCACGTAGTAGTTGAGTCGGTTTACACTGTTGGTGTATATAAAACAGTCTCCGACCCAGATACCCGTCTTCACTGTCTCCTCAATCTCTCCTACTACCTGAAAACATAACCAACAATGCAGGCTAATACAAGACACGGATTCATGTAATACTCACACACAGGTGATTGCAACTTTAACATATTTATGATACAGTGTGCTGGAAATGAATTCTGCTGCATCACACCGCTGTTTCCCCCTTCTAGGACTCATCTGTGATACTAGGGGCCAAAAAGTTGGAAATCTTAATCTACTGTTGAAACAGGAATGGAGGGGAGTAAAACCCCTTAACTTAGTAAAACGTGTACATTATGAGCCGTGCCACCATTCAAAAGAGATAACTGTGGCCATCAAGGTTACAGCAAACACTAAGGACTAAAAAAGCCACCAGCAGAGTCTACTATCTTGTATCTTGAAAGATGAACGACACAAACACACACAGAAGATTGCACCTTTAAAAACTTGTAATAGATACAGTATGCAGATAAACAAATTACACTCCATCATACAGCTGTACAAATTCAAAAACATACTCGGTATCATATAGCAGGGCTATATAAAAACATACTCAGTATCATATAGCAGGTCTATATAAAAGCATTGGATATGTTCTGTATGTGTTGCTGTTAATTAGTAATACTGAACACATTCTGAATTTTACATGAGAGAGCTTCTGATTTCCCAGACATCCCCTGTTGCCCACTTTCTACTGTATGCAAAACCTACACAATAAAACATCCTTTAATGATACAGAATTCACAGCAACAGATACACATCAAACCCCTACATGTATCTGACAATAGATTGGACTGTGATCAGTTACCTCGAAGGCATCCTCAATTCCGTCCTCACTAATGTCCTCCTTGTGTTCTTTGGCCTTCTCCACCTCCTCAGCATTGTACTTGAGGATGAAGAAGGAATCTTCTGTACATATACACACCAGTTCACCATTCTCACTCCATGACACCTAAAATAAAGCAGATTCAATAACATTTCATTAAGCTGAACTATGCATATTATATTCCAACCACCTTCATTATATAATTTGGCAATTGAATAAATCATGTCTTTAGATATTTCTAAATGTATTTTAGGCCGATACTAATTACCCAGCTCAATCAAAGAATGTATAGTCCATTGAAAGTACATTAAAATTGAAAACTTGAAACACTTTATTTTGGACACTTTATTTTGGACACAAATCAGCTTTAAAGCAAATTTGAGGAACGACTTCCCTTCTTTCTGACTTATGTGAGTAAAGCCAAAAGCAAAGAAACTCAATGATCCATCTACACATGTATTGACAAAACTTCTTAATAAAGGACCATTGTTCTATCACAAAGATCTGAAAATGTGCCTCCCACACCTCTCATATGGTTATTTCTGTGACAACCCCAATATACTGTATACCAGGACATTTTTGCACAGTCAAACTTTTACCCTTTGCCCATGATATCAATTTGTGTTAATTTTGCCCATCACATAAAATCACAATGTTTATTATGCTGTTAACTTACATTCACTGTAATAATAAATTCAAAGGCAAAGATTAAACAGCATTGACAATATCACGGTAAACGGTATTCATATTTCCCACCTTTTTTATTGACCTTTTTGATGGGCAAAAGAGCCAAAAGCTCCTAGTTTCATTGTAAGTTGTAGTTTATTTTTATAAATATCCCAAACAAAATATTTCAGCGGTCTTACTAGCAGTAAAATATTTTACTCACCTCTGTTTTAATAACGTATACTTACAAATTTGGGTGTGATTTCTATTCTCCTAATAAGTTCTGTCGAGTCCCAGTCATAGAAAGCCAGACCACTGACTGACCGTACACCCAGCATGTTACCCCCATATATCCCTACAATACGACACACAATATAAGTATGTGTTAAAGGCACAACAGTAGCAACAGATACATTAAATGCTAGTACTTGGCCTAATTTGATAGGTAAACTTTCAACCTTTGGAGATCCTAGATTTTCATGACTAATGTACCTGTATTTGTTGTAATGTAATTACATCCAATCTAATTAACATGAGGATTTATAAAGCCTTACCCTGCTGATTCGTTGAAATCTTTTCCAAATGAACTATAGATTCACATATTTGATTTTAGCTTTCTCCTTTTACAATCACATATTCAGTGTAAATTTCCCCATTTCGAAATTATACAGAAATTTGATTATAATGTCTCTCTTAAACTGATGAACATTTTCACTAATCATCTGTTGTAATTTTCTTATGCCATCAATGTCACCAAAATTTAATGTTTTTTAATGATTTTCTCATATGAGAACAACGTAAAAGTATCAGTATTCACATTCATACCTTCTGCTCCAAAGTCAGGTTTGAAGGATTTTTGCTCCTTGAAGTTTTTGAATATTTTAACCATACTGGTGCTCTCTCGTGTAGCGTACATGGAGGAGTCGTTACTCCAGACAAATTCCTGGGCGGACCCAAAGCTTTTGTTCCTCAGTGCCATAGCTGTGTATATGATGTATTCACCATCTCCACAAACCACCACGAATCTACAAATTAAAATGATATATTTCAAATTTTATGTCTTTATGGTAACAAATTTATAGCAGATATTTAAAACAAAAACAAAATTAATAAATAAAATTTATTCATATCAGAGAAATAGGTTACAAATGCCAATTTATTTCCTTAAGTCATAATATCATGATCAGGTATTCTTCATTTAATGGCAATAATGGGTTTTACAACTTTCATGGTATGGTTTTGCTGCTGATTAAACTTTAAGTAGACAACCAGCACAACTAGTTTTGTTGATGTAATATACAAATAGAAAGTTTTTAAAAGATATTTTGTTGTGTGTCTACTCCAACAAATTACACAAAAGTTATTTACAGTAAATTTGGATTTAATTTGATCATAATCCTCTGTAAAATGTGTCCAAGTCTACCATAAATCTATTTGTATCTTTTATCTTTTCCCAGCAATAATCGATCCTGAAAACCTTCTGTTTATTACTAATTACCTTCCATTAGGATTGTGGGCCACATTTTGGGGGTATATCTCACAGCTTCCCATGTCTTTGACTGCCAGGGGTAATCGCTCACCATCTTTGATATCTGTATCACTAATAGCCTTGATATTAGCCTGCTGAATCTCCGAGTGTTTGGCCCAGATGATCTTCCCGCTGTTGTCCATTGACATTGCTGGCTCTTCTCTTCCCAGCTAGCAACACAGACACATTCTGTATATTTCATCGATTATTACGCAATTTATCATTTACCCTGTTTTACTTTTTATGAACTATATCTAATTTTCCAATCTAGCAACAAAAACAGGAACCACCTACAAACTAGTAATGGTGACATGAAATGATTGCAAGATTGGTGTTTGGAAAAATCCTTTGATTATTCATTGTCTTGGTACTGATATAAACATTCAATAAAGATTGGGACAACAGAAAAATGCAGAAATTAAATATGTCGTACAAATTCATGATTTGATAATCATCTAAAACTTTTTCTCAAAAACGACAAGGTACAAAAAGGGGGGATAACTCTTCCAAAAACATTTGAAATAAAAAATATATATCAAAATTCAAGTATATTATGAATTAATCACGAGTACAAAATTCATTTAAATAGGTACAGTAGATAAGAAGAAGCAGTCCAGACCACGTCTATAATGTCAGATGGACATACAGTGAAGTGTATTCTAATGTTACCCCCCCCCCTTTACTTCATTACAGAAATATGATATTAACGTGTGCATACCTTGATAATAATGCTTCCTTCGTCATAGCCGAGAGCAACATTGTTTGACCCCTTCTGACAGGCGATAGTCCACACCCTTTCCAGTCCGTAATTCAAAGTACTCTCCAGTCTGTAAGTGTTAGCATGCCAAATACGAACAGTTCCTAAACGAGAAAAAATGTGAGCATTTCAGTTTCCACGTACCCAAAATTCATGATGATGTGCGGCATCATGAACTACCACTTATAAATAAATGTACTATCACAATATTAAGATAATTAATAAGTTTATGAAGACCCTCATTTGACTTTTTATCTACAAAGTTAACCTTTTCAAGGTTTTATATACAAATTATATACCATGAAATGAAACGGCTCTAAATTAACGACCTAAATATAGTGTATTGCACATCTTCAATGGATGATGCATGTATCCTGCTAGTTTCATGAAAACATATCTTCATTAGCTTTAGACAAAATATGTTCAATATATAAGATAATGATACAATATGTCCACTTGCATTTGAAAGGGAGTCACAATGTCAAGTCAAAACCACAGTATAAATTCTATTTGCTTTTATTAATCTTACCATCCTCTGATCCTGTCATAATGATCGGCAGTTCTGGGTGGAAGGACACTGTTGAAATGTTCTGGGCATGGCCCTCAAGTGTCTGTACACATGTTTTGTTCTGTCCAAGAAAAAAAGCTCATCATATTATCTGATCAGAGATTTCCTAACTTCACGGTCACAGGCCAGACAAACACTAAAACTATTTCTGAGAACATTTGACCTATCTATCCTAATTCGTACCGACACAATAAGAAGATAACTTATCTCTGAAATAGCTCACCTGATAATCCCAGATTTTAATGAGTCTGTCATCTGCGCCAGAGATAAGATAGGGTTTGTCTCCCCCTGAATAATAATCCAGACAGTTGACTCCTTTCTCATGACCTTCCAGTGTGAAGTTTGGTGTTGGGGAACCCAGCTGCCAGACCTGCACAAAAAGAGATTCAGGGATATTTATAGTTTAATATTTATAGTACTAAACAGTGGGGAGATTTTGAAAAATTCTACCAGATTTTCCTGTTTTCATTGTAAATATTGAACATTTTCACACTACTTGCCTAATATCTACTAACCTAGGCATTATAATTAGGCAAGTAGAATTGTGCATTTATAAAGATTACAATGTAGTGTTGCAATAATGTTTCATGCATTATTTTAATATGCCACAGGCCTAGCTATTTGAGTACCATACAAATTTACATGCTTCACCGGAGTCTCATACTCATAAGAATTACTGTCAACACCGAAATTAAACATGGTGGGATTCATAGTTTTAACTGTAGAAAAGGACCCATAACAATTAAATTGCAAGTCTATTGTTCATTGTATACAGTAATTAATAATAATCATCCAATATATATGGTCCTGCTGTTGTGTTAAAAAACAAGGAAATATTCATAATTTATCAGGAGTATGAGAAATAGAACTAAAGAAATTAAAAGAACAGAATAAATCATGGGTTTCAAAAGTATGCTGTGAGTTTCAGAAATTCTGTATTTTTTTCAAGCAACTTCTGCCAGTTCATCGAGAATAAAATATTAGCATCTCGGAGCTGAAGGACTAATCCAGAGTTTGCCATATTTCCTAACATTAATCTGGTTCTGAGTAGGTGTTTTAAGTTTGACATTTTTCAATATAACTTCATCTTTTTTTTTTTTTTTAAACCAAACAAATCAGTTACCACAAACTTGAATGTCATTCAAACGAGTGAATGTGCCCACGAAGAGTTTTCCGAGTATGTTACCTTGACAGTCCTGTCCAGGGATCCGCTAGCAAATGTGTTGTTATCCTTGGGGTTGATGATGATCTGCATCACATAGTGAGTGTGTCCCTCAAATACTTGAGTACAGGTCCACTTCTTTTCCCAATCCCACAACTTGATCAACATGTCATCTATAAATAATATCAATCAATCAACATAAATACATAACTTCATCTGCATGTCGTCTGTCAATACTGACCCCGATAGAATTTTTAGTATCAACTTTATTTAATATTTTTACAAAATATTTATTTTTTATTTTTTGTAAATTGAACAATAAATTAATTGCCAACTTGTACAGAAAAAATTCTACAAAATCTTAATTTTTTAAATTTAAAATTCTTTGTAAATTGAACAATGAATTAATAGCAAACATAAAAAAAAGATATATTATCTAATTAAATACTACAAAAAGTAAAGGACATTCATTGGTGAAAGTAATTTTTTTTAAATTAAGAAACTTTTGCGACACCAAAGTCAGGCCTACAAATTGTAACTGAAGAAACATCTGGTAATGTTTTGTAACTTTACTGACCACTGCTGCTGAGGATAAAGGGCTGTGTTGGATGGACAGCCAGTGACCGGATGTAGTCAGAGTGCGCCTCAAACTGGTGTATCCTCTCAAGTGTATTGTAGTTAAATGCCCTGATTGTCATATCATCCTTGGAAGATGAAATAAGAAATAAAAAGTTACTTATGTCATGAAGAGTTGATGAAGAATAATGAATTGTATAAAACTGAAATTAAAATTATCGTTTTACATAATGAACTAATTATAAGAAATATGTGGTTTAGTGTTATGGTCAAGCCTGAACCAATTCTTATAATGCTTATTTGTAAAGATATTTCCGAAATTTTGTTTAAAAAAATGAACATCTGATATTTTCTCTGAATATACTCATTTCAAAACATTTGTTGATAATTAACATTTGTTGATAATTAATACCCCCTCTGCATTAAAGCCATTTTGGTCTCTGTGGAGTATAATATATAGATAGAGTTAATACAGACAGAGACTAAGTTCTGAAGTGGATTTTGCATAATCTGTAGGTCACTTACAGATCCTGTTATAATCCAGTTCTTTCTTGGGACAAATCTTGCACACCTTACAGGAAGATCACAAACTTCAAAAGATTTGATCAATTGCTAAAATGGAGAAATTATATATATATGTCAATAACAAGCTTTTGTTTTAATTTGGTAATTCCTCAGAACTCGTATAAAAAAGCACTTGTTAAGATGACAAGATAAAAACCATTTTGTTAAATAAAAACAAAAATTGTATCTTGTGCCTTTGGAATCAAGTTTATTTTTATTCAAATCTACCCCTATTGTTCTATATTACAATGTACTTCAACAATGCTTTGAGTATATTTTTAAATGATGCGCAAATTTCAGAACATTTACTCTATCTAGGTAAAATTGTTATAATCTTGCATAACAAAGTAGGAAGAAGCAGCTGTCTTACTTGTGATTCATAGTTCCAGATGTGAACATTTCCATTATACAGGCTAGCCAACATCCATGGCTCAGTTGGGTGCAGGTCGACACATTTGACCCGGTCAGAGCGTGCTGACAGTTTCCGTTTGATGTCCAAACGAAGAGGCTATACAAATGAAACTTTTAATTATATTTTTGAAGATAAATGTTATCAAAACATTAAGGTAAGGTGACTTAGGTCACATTTCCAACCATACCTATTTGTCCTAAATCTATAAAAAATAAAAACTGTAAAGGTATCCGGTCCCATGTATTCGTTTCTCAAAATTTGACTGGGTCAATTGAAATTTACACACCACTCTACGTATACATTTTTGAGGTCCCATGTTTGGTCCATGCATTTTCCCTCTTGTACTAATGTTCAGTGACAAGTCAAGAGTTGAGCAATTTATCTATCACAGTGATAGATAAATATAAGTGATTAACTTCCACTTTACAGAGGGGGGGGGGGGCACATACATTTCAGCCGTTTGCTTCGAGTTACCATATTACCTACGATTTAAATATCGGTCATCAATTCCGTTATTACGTGACATTAAACTTAACATTTTCTATGTGACAGGCCAATGCCCACAACCTCCTTACAAAATAGTTATCAACAAATCCAATGTGGACTGCAGAACCCCCCCTCCCTTTTTGACACATTTGTGTGAAATATTGACAGATATATTTTGTGCATCTACCAGTTTGTTAACAACTTGATGTGAATTTCTTTTATGACATTATTCTGATTAAAATGATCCTTATTTTGGCAGGAATCTTACCATTTTTGTTTGTCGTATTAGCAGACACACTAATGTTGTTTTCCAGCACCGGCTAAAAAGTGTACGTTTGCTAGAATTACGTGGCTTCGTGTCTGCCCATGCGTTACCGGAAGTCACGTCAACGAGAACGACGCGAGAATACTTCGGAAAATGGCCGCGAAACAAGCACAGACAGTATCGCGTTCTTAGTTCTAAATTGGATTTCGATGGTTTTTGCATCTCGATTCATAACAACATCTGAAACCAGATGTAGTATTGCAACAATTATTCAATGAAAGCTAACTGGATCTCATAAAGGAGACGATTGTGAAGTATTTGCAACTTTAATATCTTGTTGATAAGGAAGCTGACAGGTGTCTTGCAGCGGCCCGTCTCGCAGTGTTACGAAGATAGCCCACCAAGATGAGAGTGAACGGACTCGTCCCAGCTCGCTTTCTTACGATCATAGCACACATGGTCATCGTCATTGTGATATTATGGTCACGAGTACGTTTTGTAGGAAATTTTATTCATATAATTGTGTATAAATAAGGTCTCAAAACAACACGTTTAACTTATTATAGGAGGCACGATAGTCTAGTGGTAGGACGCCGGGCTCGTGACCGAAGGGTTGCGGGTTCGAGTCACGGCACTGTATCGTATCTTTGAGCAAGATACTTTACTCTGCTTGTTCCAATCTACTCAGCTGTAAATGAGTACGTGGTTGGGTAGTGCAAGAATTGTTGAATGCTAGATGTAAGCGCCGAAATGAACCGTACAGGTTGGTTGCAAAGGCCCTATAGCCACGGATAATATTTTTAGACGGCCTAAGAACTAGGTTGTGATAAAGCGGTAAATAAGAACCATAAATTATTATTAATATTTCCAAGTGACGGGCTGTCTGATTCGATTCCTGGTTTAGACCGAAGCACAATAGATCACAACGGTGTATATATGGGTAATAATCCATAACCCATTTGAGTAACAATTTTATTACTGAAAATGGGAATATGCAGGATTAATACCCATATGCGCCAGTGTGCCCAACCTGCTTAGAATGACATTATAATGGTTATTTATTTTTGACAGATAATATAATCAGTTACTATTCAAACCTTGTTCCATTTTTTTCCTGACCAACATTTACCAATGCAAGCAAATATCTTTCCATTTGATAAATGGTTAGGTCGGTTGATTGACAGGTTTCTCGCCTACATGACTCTTCCCATGTAGGTTTCATCTCACTGAAGGAGGTCGGTGTTCTGTCGGCGCTAAATGGTTAGGATTTAGTGCAGTTTTTGTCTCGGATGTCGAGGAGGCTGGACTTCGGTGTTGCATGCTTCTCTGGCGGCAACAGCGGCATAAACATAAAGTTTTTTCATTTAGCTCTGTTTCACAAAAAGTAAAAATGCTAGACCAACCAAACTTGGACCATACATGCGTCTTAGATACTTCATCTTAATCCATGCATCAGTTGCTGAATGTGGCCTACATTTCGCGGTCGATTGACATCTTCATCAATGTTAAGTTTTTGCGTTTAGCTGTGTTATATGCTGTATCTCAAACATTTTAAGTGGAAGACTAATCAAACTAAGAATGTAAGTTTGGATAATCATTATATTACCATCAACGGAATCAGACATCAAAATGGCCACAGTAAATAAACTGGCTTCTGATTGGCCAAAATTCAGATATTGTTCAATTTCCTTGAAATTTTATATGTATACATGTGCATTTTGTGACTAAGCCAACTCAGCCACAACATCCGTTTTCTGATTCGACAAAATGTCCACCTTATACTGACTTCTGATTGGTAGATAATCAGTTTTTGTTGATTTAAATCAAATTGATAAGTACATGTATTTTAGCCGCAACATCCGTTATCTGATTTGACAAAATGGCTGTTGTATATTGGGTTCTGATTGGTCTAAATTCAGTTACCGTTAGATTTCGCTAAAAATCGGCGTGTAAGTGTATTTTAGCATTGCAAACTCAACTGCTGAATCCATTTTCTGATTTTACAAGTTGGTCACCGTATATAAATATTGGCTTCTGATTAATCTTAATTAGGATATTGTTAAATTTAGCTTACGTTTGGTACATAGATGTATCTTGGCACTATACAAGCTAAACTGTTTCCTGATTTGACAAAATGGCCACCTTATACTTCTGATTGGTCTTAATTCAGTTATTGTTCAATTTCAGTCAAACTTGGTATGTACATGTATTTTGGCACTGCAAACTCAACCATGACATTCATTTTATTATTTGACAAAATGGCCACTGTATATTGGCTTCTGATTGATTGAAATTCAATTATTGTTCAATTTCTCTAAAAAAATCAGTATGTTATTGTATTTTCGCACTGTGACCTCAAAAAATGTACTAATCAGTGGTATATAATGATTTATACATGTATATGATTGGATTGCAGTCAGCTGTAATAAGTAACAGACATAGCAAGGCTAAATTTAATATTAGCGTAGGTTGGGAAACTTAGACATTTCGTTTGGCCTTACAACTACATAATATTGTGATTACTATACATTGTTCTACATAACAACCTCATATTTTCAACCCACCTAGTGGTAAGTGTTAACTTCAGAATCTCTTCACATCTTTTAAACAACTAGTGTACCTAGTCTTCTATAACAGGAGGGGCGGCGGTGGCCAAGTGGTAAAGGTGTCTGACCTTCTGCTACCACTAGCCCTACACCACTGGGTCGCGGGTTCGAGACCTATGTGGGACAGTCGACAGGTACTGGCTGTAGATAGGGGGGGTTTTCCGGGAACTCAGGCTTTCCTCCACCAACAAAACCTGGCACATCCTTAAATGACCATAGCTGTTAATAGGACGTAAAACACAAACAAACCAAACTTCTGTAAAACTCCAGGGTTCTTTATACCTTACAACTATGCATTACACTACGTATTAAAGCTTTACAACTGTTCACACATTATATTGATGATCTATCTTGAAAGACGCTTCGACTTGATCATCTATATCAGACATTGAATCTCTATGATTAAAAAAATATTATAGTGGTTATGCATATATAGGACCAACATTTCTTTGAGAAACAGACAACTTTTCAGACCTAGTGGAGCAATGTCTGCCTTACAGTGTTGTGATTATATGAATAAAATGTATATAAGGTTTTCATGAGAAAGGTGATATTATAGATGAAATAAAAGTGATATATATATATAGAGAGAGAGAGAGATAAAATATCATGAAATGTAAACATTTAACCATTAATGCAGAGTACAGAAATGATAGGTGTTTAAATCTTGTCTTATTATTATTATTTATTTTTTCCTTTCAGGAGGAAAATGTAATTCAGTGTCTACCCCTGAACTACACAGCTGATGAATACAACACCAAGGATACAGAGTAAGTATATAGATAACTGGTACAGGTGATGTCTGCACCTCAGCTTTATTACCCCCTGGCATTACTGGACCTGGTACTTATTTTTTTTCCATTTTCCAATAGAAGAAGCCATGTTTGTGTCCTCTGGGTTATTTTTTTATGTAAACTTAAACTCAAACCAATTTTCACAGATATAGAAAAAACTAATTTCTTTTTGTTTCAAGGGGTTCATCATCAACATTTGGAGTTTCGGGGGCATATTTATTTATTTAGGCCCAGTAAGACGTTAATGGGACATACCACTAGTAGAGGGAAATCAATACCAATTAATCTAAGTAATCAGTGATCCAATTAATGTAAGTAATCAGTGATCCAATTAATCTATGTAATCAGTGATCCAATTAATCTGAGTAATCAGTGATTTTAACAATTAAGTAATTTAATATACACATCTTTTTTATTGCAGAATGATCATTGGACTATCAGTGACTCTAGGTCTCTTTGTCATAGAACTGATTGGGTTCATCGGCGGAATCTCCATGTTTATGCCATTCCAAAGTTTATTATGTATCCTTTTCATAAGTAACAATATTACTTTTTTTTTTTACAGAATTGGTGAGTCTATATAGGTTATGTTTACATCTATATTTTGTTTTATTTTTCTCAAAATTGTTTCTTGTGTAACTGAATTTGGAACAAGTGATTTAGTTGAAGTGCTAATATTTGTGTCTGTTAATGAACCAAATACTGGTACATACATTGTAATATGATTGATTGTTCACAGAACTGATTCATCTAATTATTGTTACTTCACAATCAATGAAAGTGAATCAGTCTGAACAATTCTGTTATATCTTATATTTCAATTTATGTTAAATATTTCAGTAGCTAGAAAGTCTGTTGGAAGCTTTTGAGGAACGAGGGAAATATCACAGGATAATTAGGAGACTGCAGTACTTATATCTTGTGTTTACATTTGACCTCATCAAGAGAGTATTATTGCTAGTGTTGTGATAACTGTAGAAAATTAACTTTAAGTTTAGCCACAGACCACAGGGCCAGTAATCTTTTTCTGTGTGATCCACAGAAAAAGATTACTGGCCCTGTGGTCTGTGGCTAAACTTAAAGTTAATTTTCTTTTGAACTGATCGTTCATTTTGCAATAAACAAGCTCTGTGGGTTAGTGACTTTTCACATTAACATTTTAATGGTAACAAAACACCGAAACAACACCGAACTTAATGTTAATTTTCAAAGTATCTTTAATTTCAATTTCAAAAGTACTTTATTGACAATACATATGTAATACAAACATAAAAGTTAACATTAAAGAAGATATTAGAACAGTATTGACAAAAGAATTAGACAACAGACTATGCCTATATGATCAGTCTTCTATTTCCGGTAGCTATGTACAATGCTTAATATATAAAATGTTGTAATTTGTTTTCCTCTCACACACATGCACACCCACACCAGCTTATGTCTTATACTCATTATTTAAGGAACAAAACTTGCCTGAATAATAATAATAATAACAATATATGAATATTAATTTGGAATTTATCTAGCATGTATAAGTAACGAAACATTTTGATGATTTAATATAAAAGTCAACATGTATAAGAATAGTTTTATTTAATTGTTCAGATGCATCAAAGTCTCTTAACACTGATCTACTTGTTAAACATGTGACAGATTTAATGTCTGAGAATTCCTGCACTGAACCACCTGGTCATTGCCAAACAACTCCATTACTGCCCCATATGGTCTATACTGTAATTGTTTTTTTAACTTTTGTTTTTTTCCTCCAAACAACTTCACACTTTCCCACCTGCAAATAGGATTACAGTCCAACAACTGGTAATATTCCAAAAGTCCTGTTTTAAGGGGGGGGGGGGTATTTGCGGTAAAATACAGTTGTCAGATAAAATTCGTTATATATTTGAAGATAAGTTGTCAAAGTGTCAAAGGGCAGTTAAACTTGAAACTTTTAAAAAATTTGTGAAACAAAATTATTTTTTTGACATTGGTCGCATTTACTAGTAAGATACATCATGTGTAATATGTATGGATTTGAATTGATATTTTGTATGTAATTATAGTGTAAATATATAAATACTCCGTAAGTAATTCACAAAAATGTCCACAATTTAAATTCATGTTCCCCATATCGGTGTGTTATAGGATATATGGTAGAACTACAAGCCTGTTGTGACATAACTGCTGGTATTATTGCTCCTTGACTGCTGTCTCAGCTATAAGTGCCCACTGTGGGGCTTGTGTGGCGCTGTCCTATTACCTATTTCGGGCATGGCCGTGCTATAGGTATTGGTACGTGTTTGCATTCTGCAGTGCCTTACCCACGGTTACCGAGGTCATTACCATGATTGGTGTAAGCTTCTGCAGGCGGGGACTATAGCACTCACTAAGTAATAGGGAACCAACTACATGACAAAACAATACATCATGATTTACGCATTAATAAGTGAGCTTTTTAAGTAACTTTAAAATTAGTTGCAGAAAATAGGAAAACAGATATTCTATCACCTGTAAGAAAGTTACCTGCCTTTAGCTATATTGTCTCCTTGACAACAAACCAGCTACAGCAGCACATGCCTCAGGGGCAGTGGCTCTCGCATTCTTCCTGTTCCAACTATGGTCATGTGACTATTACTGGTACGTGTTTGCCTTCTGTGTTGCCCTTCCAGCTGTCGGAGAAATCATGACAATGATCGGTGTCGCTTTCTTTAGGAAGGGCTTATAGTGACGAAAGATCCTGAAACTTGAGAAATAGTGGACATAGCCCCCGGAATTCAAGATTGTGCAGCATGAGGAATATTTCGTACTAATACTATGTGAACAACTCCCTAAGATGTGAGGAAATGATCGTATGGATGAGGAATGACAATTTAGGATCCAATGTACATGTGACAGCTGATTGAATATATACCAATGTATTATAGTTATACACAAAAAACATATCCTCATATTATGAATTACTAAATTAATTCATGTGAGAAATTGGTATGTACCAATGTATTAATTTTTAAGTCAACATGATATTGAAAAACTTTCGAGTTGTGTATAAAATTAAAAATATGATTTTACTATTAGTTAATGAATTTGAAACCAAATCATGTTGAGATGGTAGTCATTGATCCTAAGTGACTGCATGTACATATAGACCTTATTTAAAATTAATAATGTTGACTGACAATTTGACAAATATTAATTGTTGCAAACTATGTAAGTAATCATTTTCTTCCTCGCATTTAAATGTTGCAAACTCTGTGATTCATATTTATGAAAGAACATCATGATATGTATGTTATTCCAAAGGAAGTGGTAAGTATTTGAAAGCTATGTCCTCTCCACTGGAGTCATGTTAGATAACGTGTGTAAACAGTAGGAGCCATACGGTCGCTTAAAGGTGTGGTATCTGTCCATGCTTACAAAGCTAGTGGAAAATGTCCTACTTATGTAATAAAAACTTTATTTATTTAACAAAAAGTCCATAAGAACGAATGATGGAGATTGTGCTAGTTTTTAGCTTATAGCTGAAGTTTTTAGTGACTCTAATATTGGTTTGGGAAATCAATGTCTTTGAATGTTGTTTGTAAGGATGTATGTGATTGTTTCAATGTTTGGGTGTAAAATTGACCAGTATGTAATTTACATAATTGAAAGAAAGTATGCTTGGATGTGTTATTTTTAAATGAGTGATATTATACCGTCCATATGTTTTTGTGACACTGATGTTAAGGGCTAAAAGACATTATTAGTGTTGCAAATATAAAACGATTATATTTAATAAACTGTAGATCAGATATCTGTATATATTTGGATACAATTAGATTTTCTTTTATAACTATGCGTTCAGTATGTATGTTTAAAATTTTTGTATCAAATTTCATGTGTCTTTGTGAAAGTGTTATCTTATTACATTGTAAAAGTCTCTGATATGAATGAGGGACTCAATTGGGAATTTATTTTAAAACTATTTTGACATGTGTGTGAAATTTTCAAAATATGTTGTTTGGTCAAAAATAAAATTTGTGAACTTAGATTATGTGTCGAGTTGCATGAGTTACAACATGTACTTCCATAAGTAACATTTTTATGTTTTCTAGAAAATTGTAACACTTGAAACTGACTGTATTAAAACATTTTATATATATAACATACACCAATAGTTTGTTCTTTATAAGGGCCCCGTATCGAAGATACGGGTGCCCTATAGTGCCCTGTCCGTCCACAAATTTTGTTCCTGGCTGATAACTTTAGTATTTATTGACCGATGTACATGAAACTTGGTCAAGATGTTCAGTTCATAAAAATAAACATTGAGGTAAAAAGTCAAGGTCAAAGGTCAAGGTCATTAGGTTCAAAGGTCAAGGTCAAATTTTACATCTTTTCACTGATGAACATTTTGTTATGACATTATGAAGCAAAGTTGATCAGAATTAAACAAGGAGTCAACTGACCAAAGGTCAAGGTCATCGGATCAAGGTCAAATTTTGTAGCTTTTCACTAGTGAACATTTTGCTGTGACATTATGAAGCAAAGTTGTTCGGAATTAAACAAAGAGACACACTGGGGTAAAAAGTTGAGGTCAAAGGTCAAGGTCATGAGATTCAAAGGTCAAGGTCAATTTTTGCATCTTTTCACTTATGAACATTTTGTTATGACATGATGAAGCAAAGTTGATCAGAATTAAACAACGATTCAACTGACCAAAGGTCAAGGTCTTTGGGTCAAAGGTCAAGGTTAAATTTTCTATCTTTTCACTGGTGAACATTTCGCTATGACACTTTGAAGCAATGTTGGTCAGAATTAAACAAGGAGTCAATTGACCAAAGGTCAAGGTCACTTGGTTAAAGGTCAAGGTTAAAATTTTGTACCTTTTCCCTGATGAACATTTTGTTATGACATTATGAAGCAATGTTGTTCATAACTTAACACAGAGTCAACTGACCTCAGTTCCAGGTTACTGGGTCAAAAGGGTCAAGGTCAAGTTTTGTATCTTTCACTGATGAACATTTTGTTATGATATTAAGAAGCAAAGTTGGTCGGAATTAAAGAATAAGTCAACTGACCAAAGATCAAGGTCACTGGGTTAATGGTCAAGGTCATTTGGGTCCAAAGGTCAAAGACAAAGTGGATCTCTGACTTTGACCTTGGCTCTTGATGGAGGAGGTATATAAGGTGAAATAAAACAAATAAAACAAAGCTAACAAATGAGTATTGCACCGGTAATTACATTTCTGTTAGCCCAGCAAATATGGAGGTGGAAGGAAACACATCACATCATTGTACATGTAATATGTATATTTTGCTTCCCTGCGATTCTTTTTGAAGTACAAATGTCAAACTTCAAACTCAGCTATATGGACAGATTGCTTCTTGATGATAATGGGGGATATAATTACCACAAAACGGGGCCCTTACTGACCTGTCAGTGTTCTAGTTAACTCATTGACCCCTGAAGACACGTTTGAACTCTTCCAATTCAAAGGTTGGAATAGTTCATTAGGAAATTTCAGGGGTAAATGATTTAACCTTCAGCTGGAAACTCCTCTACTCCAGTCGCATGAAACCACAACATACACGTACCTTTATAATTCAAAGTTGTTCTTTGATAGATTTTCATACACAAACCAGGTATATGGCTAGTGCCCAGAATTTTCAACTCGCCTGCCAGAAGGACTAGTGAGCTTGTGCAATGATGCGGCGTCTGTCGTCAGGCAGGTGTGGGAAAAATAGGAGATGAGTGATGAAGGCCCCCTGGGCCTCTTATTATACAATAATAAGAGTCCTTGAAAATGGAACATAATGAATACATTTGTCAAACTTTCAGCTTTTTACAACAATTGTGTCGTTTGAAGAGGATTATTTTCCTTCTATGGAAAATATTAAACCATTTACTGGATGTTGTTAAAAATCTGAAAAAAGCTTCTACTCGAATATTTTGCACACCAAAAAAAATCTGAAAAAAGCTATGTTCATGCTCCGAAAATTGATCTCTGGAAATGAATGACGAACCTGGGTAATCAGCCCATGCCAGTCCCTGATCATGGATATTACAGTCAGGTTTGTACTGACCCTGTATTCTGTCACTGTATCACAATGCTCCATATACAGCCATGTAGCAATAAACATGTATGTAGTTATACCAGGTATAAAATGTATGGATTCAGGAAACAACACAAAAAATCCCTCTTCTTTATATTTGACTCATTTTAAATATTTTAGTTTTTATCAAAAGTTACTACAAGATCCATTTCATATTGACAGGATTACCAATCTAAATGATCAAACTAACATACAGAACAAACGAAAATATTAAAATAATGGATGCCAAGATCCCTCTTGGATCTCATCCCCCCCAAGTACAGCAAATTTTCTGTATCAAAAACTGACAATTAGCAGAATGAACACTGAAAACAATGCTTTGTACAAGATAGTATGGCGGTCGATCATTTCAATATATCTGTATACGTATGCTATGATGTACTTTATGTAATTGGCAACATCGTACACTTCTAAACAGTAACTGTCAGTAGCTTGTCTAGATTTTGGTTAAATGAGCTAAAATGTTTGAACACCATTTTCTTAAGTTTCAGAACCCCTTAAACACTGATAACTTTCCTTTAGCTTGTTTGTATGAATTTCGTCAAAATAAATAGAGTATAGCAAGATATTTTCTCAACTTTGCACGTCATTAATGTGATCGCAAAAATATAATCTGCAGAATTGTATAACAAGAGAGCCTCCTGCACGTAACTCTTAAGCGGATTCTGCCTAGAATACGCTAGGATTATTGGCGGAAACCGCTAAAAATGGGAAATTCAAAGGCGGACTTATGGCGTACATGAATAATAGGAAAATCCTGTCTATATTCCGCTAACCACAAAAGTCTATTCCATCTAAAAATCTGCCTGGTAATTTTCACTTAGCGGGTTTTTGGTGGAATTATACACTTATGAAAATTGTTCTTGGCAGGATTTAGACAACTAAGACTTAGACAATTTAATAATAAATACATTTTATTTTTATTTTTCAAAAAAGTTTAAAAATTATTTAGTTTGAAAAATATCTATGATCTTGATGGCTGTTTCCATAAACTACCAGGTACAGACATTGCATTTACCAAATCTTGAACCATTTCTGAATTAGACAAACTACCTTTAAGAAAGCATACATGTACTTAATCAGATATTCCAGTATATATATATGTTTTGCAGGAACTGATTTTGGTATTTTGTACCTCTCAGTCCAGCACTTTAAGTATTGTGTGAAAAAGAACAAAAACATTTTATATTATTGGTGCAAATGTAATGCATTGGGAACATGTATGCTGTTTTATATTAATTCAGGTTTGACAAATTATGTTGTGTCTCAACATACAACAAATGGAATAAATTTGACAGTCTATTAATTGTAATATTCAAAAGTATTTAAACCGACTTAAGCAAGTCTATTTTTAGATTGTATAGTCTGTATAGATTCTCACAACCGGAACTAGCCACAGCAGCCAGTCCAGTATCCTGGTCAGTGATTGGTCAGTTTCTACATTCAAAGTTTTGATGCTGAAAGTGGCCATTACTGATAACTGCTTGAGTTTGTAAGGAGAAGGAACATTATTTTCCATTTGGAAGTTTGGATATAATTGCAAGAGGAACATGTGTATGTGTATGCAATATTTTGTGATTTATGATAATTATCCAGTACCAGCATGCATGGTCTGAATAATGGGGTCAGTTTGTTTTGAAAATTATATGATGTATGTGTATGGGAAATAAAACAGAAATGTGACTGAATTAGTATACATTTGACCAGAATACATTACAATAGCTAGTATACAGTGAGAATTTGTATTTACAACTATTTGTAGCACCAGCAAGGCTGAGCTAAATGGTTCAAAGAATGGTAAGTTACCACAAAATCTAAACTTTTAACTTTGATATTCTTCCTTATTCAAATCCAGTTGAAACATATGAATGTGCTTATTTAATGTTAGATTCAAATTAAATGAGCAAAGTTATTCTATATATATATGTACATATGTATCTGCTATTTAAAATGAAAGCAGAGAGTCAAGCTAACTGCCACTACATGAACAGATACCTAATTGGGCCTTGATTCTCTGTTGAGAGCATAAGTTTGGCCAAATGACCTGCCATGGCTAGGGCACAGTAAGGGGTCAGGGTTGTGGTAAGCAGCTGCTGGCTTAATCTATGGTGAAGATGCTGGCAGTGTAAAGATTTCTAGCCTATCAGGAACAGGAACTTTGTTAGATTTTAACATAAATAGTTATAACTGTTCTTTTGAAAAAAAAAAGAAAAAAAAAGTTATTCAGTAATGAAAAAGGTGATACTTTCATTTGATATAACACCTGTTGTATATGAAGACCATGCATGCAAAACTGGTACATTAGGTAGTTATATGCTTGCAATATTGCTTCATTTTAACCATTTCAGCAACATTTACTTTTACAGACTACGTGGTTGTCTGGTGTAAAGATGCCTTCACCGAGCAAGTGAGCTATGCTCGTAAGAAAGTTAAAAAGAAGATAAAGGACTGAACTGTTAAAATGAAAAGAAAAAAGTTTGTACAAGAGACCTTTTTAAGGACAAAGCAAATAAATTGTAATATCTGAAATTCATCCACATGTTGGAATCATTTTTGGTTGAATACCATCATGATTTTAAGCTGCTAAGACAAGCAGGTCTTTGAACTATAAAGATTATCGAAACATGACTTTTCATTAGATAGTGTTGTATATCTTTTAACAGGATATTGTTTAATCAGATCATTATTGTAATATTTCCGCCATTTTGACTCCACCTGGACCCCGCTAAAAATTCTAGGTTGGCGGAATAATTGGCGGATTTTCATTTGGCGGGATTTCCCAGCCTGGGAAATTTCTTGCTTGGCGGATTCCGCCTATAAGTTGAAGGATTCTTTAGGCAGGATTTCCCAGCCTAGGTAAAAATATTGCTTGGCAGATTCCGCCTATAAGTTAACGGATTCTTTGGGCAGGATTTCCTGGCCTAGGTAAAATATTTGCTTGGCGGAATCCACTTAAGCTCATTTAAATATTTTGGCAACAGATTCTACCTGGAATCCGTCTACTTTCCACCAACACCCTGTCAAACTAGTTTCCTTACTGTTGGAAATGGCGGAATATTAGACGGGATTTTTTAAATAGTCCGCCTAGAAAATTTCATACAGGCTGTATTCTAAACTGGGTCTGTATTCCTGAAACTGTTCTCATGCTCAAGCATGGATGTAAACATTGAAAACAGTATTTCATAAAAAAAAAAATCAAATTATTGACCAATTAGATTTTATTATTAATTTATAAACAGAAGAAGAATTTAGGTTTATAAGCACAAATTCCATGCTTGAGCATGAGAACGGTTTCATGAAATGGGCCCTGGATATTTCAGCTCTCTTAGGGAAATGTTCTCAATAAAAAGGAATTTTGCAAATATTGCAAATCCTCCTTGGATTAAGAATTATGTTCCTTACTAAATGAAACTGCTGGTCAAAATGCAGAAGAAGTTGTTTAAATGTTTTTAAATTACCTATTTGACCCCATTTGACTATGAAAGTAGGTCAAGGTTATTATTTCAGGACACTTTACAGCACTTTGGTGGATGTGTGATAAATATCATGCAATCAAAAATATTTGAAATAAACGGAAGTTATTGTCAAGGGGAATATATATTATAGGAGTTCACATTTGTTTGTCAATATTTGCATTTAATACGAAAGTCAACTGGAGATATCACACACATCCACATCAGAGACAGTATCCACATGTATTGAAAACAAACAATAGTTTTGTTATTTTACAAAATTTTAATTTTAATTTTCCATGTTCAATTTGTTTTATCTGGTATACAAGCATGCACATTGTATTGGCTAATACTTTGATGATGATGTAGAAAAGAAAAAAAACCTACCAGGTAGGTATGCACCATAGTCCAATACATAGGTGTAAACTGGAGAAATATCAGACTTCAAAGATTTTGTATAAACCTGTACTAATATAATTTGTAAAGCAATCTAAAACTACCGGGATATTAACTTATTTTATGAGAACGGTTTGTTTTGTTATATCTTCTATAAAGATATCGCACCCTTTTATTCATGGCTTCATATTTTGTTGGATACATGGCTTTAATCTTTCCCCCTTCCATGCGGAGTCTTCTGAGAAGCCTGTGAAGTTCAGACCTATCTTTCTGACCAATAAGCCATAATGGACCCTTCTGAAGGTCTGCAGGGTGGACATCGCCATCTCCAAGAATATCTGGAAAAACAGATTTAGATAGAGCTGCTTTAGTCATGTAGGTCTATATATATATACATTTCTCACGAAACAGCTGTATTACCATTCCCAACTCATACTATATTTTCAAGTTATTTTGCCCCCATCTCTTTTTGTAAAGGTTGGTACGTATGATGTTTCACATGTCTCATGGTGTGTCCCATTTCATTGCCACTAGTCCAGGGTTGTTTTCGTTTATCGAGATATTAACAGTTGAACCGGTTGGACCATAGTTGTTCTTCTATGAAATAAGGTCGGACCAAGTGATCTGATGCTGCTTTCAGGCGAGCCTTGACAATGCCTTGCAATGCCTGCATAAACCAGAACTGTAAGCTAAAGCCTTACTAAGGCAAAGCATTGCAAAGCAATCCATAGTCTCCCACCAGTAATGATTTCTTTATTGACTGAGCTGTACACTTATTTAAGTATACTGGTCACTAACATACTTCCTGTACTCCCTCCCAATTGCAAAACAGACTTACACACCAAATCTTGTAAGCCCAGATGAACCTGTTTTGCTAAAATTGTCCTATAAGTTAAGGAAAAGATGTCAGGACAAAGATATTTAACAAAGGGCCATAACTCCTTAAAAAGGGCCGAAATGAAAAAAAATACTAGCCTGATGCGTGACATCAGGGGGTAATTACCATATCTGTAAACTTTCATTGAAATCGGCCCAGTAGTTTATGAGGCAGACAAAGGTTTATTCAACAAAGGGCCATAACTACTTCTAAAAGGATTGGAATGAAAAACTACTACTTGGATGCCCAACATCAGGGGGCAGTTACCATATCTTTAAAAAAGAATTGAAATTCGACCAGTAGATTAGGAAAAGTTGTCAGGACAAGATTTTTCAACAAATGGCCATAACTCCATAAAAAAGGTCGGAAAAATAATACCTGGATGCACAACATAAGGGGGTAGTTATCTTATCTGAAAAATTCATTGAAATTGGCTACATAGACTTGGAGAAGTTGTGCGGGAAAGCATTTTTCAACAAAGGGCAATAACTCTGTAATAAAAGGGGTCAGAATAAAAAAATAAAAGCTAAATACACAATATGTGGTGGAAGTTATCATATCTGGAAAGTTTCGTTGAAATCGATCCATAACTTTAAAAGGATTTGTCAGGAAAAATATTCAGGATTTTTTCAACAAAGGGCCATTACTTCTTTATTAAAAGGTCAGAATGAAAACATAAAACCTGGATGCACAACTTCAGGTTGTAGTTATCATATCTGGAATGTTTCGTTGAAATTGGTCCATTACTTAAGAAGGAGTTGTCCGGACAAACAAATTCTACGGACAGACAGACAAGCTGATTCCTGTATACTCCCCTAACTTCGTTCGGGGGGTATAAAAATATTACATTAAAAAACGGAGGTACCAGCTGTTCCGCATAAACGAACAGGCCCCAGTTCTATTCTGTCCTATTTTCATTCAGTGTCATTATCATTGCAGAAGTTGATCAAATTTTCCGGTATAAAATGATACTACTTTTCAGTTTTAAGGTTTAGGCCGAGGTCATTGTTGCTTTTTACAAAAAATAATCAACCAATTTGAATTCTGTGTCATTTTTTGTGTGGATTTGATCAAGCATGATGAATACAAATGTCAACTATCCTTGTGTGAGTTCTTTTATCATGGTATTAAGGCCAAGGTCACTAATTATTTATCAAAAAATAAATGACAACTAAGAGGCTTTCAATCAAACTTCATACATAGGTGAAAATACCTCAGCTAAGTTCATGTTTCAGGGTTCCAATGTCAAGGTCAAGTTTACCCTATTTGTTCACCACTTCAGCAACTTCATTTCCTTTTTAGTAAATTTTGGTCAAAAAAAAAAAAATATGTCTGTTCCGCTGGATTTGGAAAGCATGACAACATCTTTATTGAGTTTGCATTTCAGAGGACCAAAGTCAAACAAACTTCAATAAAATGGTAGTTATTTACTTCATTTCTTACTCATGTCACAGGTATATCAATATCTTTGTCTATCTGTCGTCAATTACCAGAGAAACAGTTTATCCAACATGTGATGACTGATTTTACATGTACCTGTATCCGTTTAATTGAAATATTTCTTGCTAAGCATGTAAGCTAAACTTGATAATTCACTGAAATGGATGTTAATCATCATAACTCACTGGATACTGTCTATATCATCGAATGGAACCATTTAAGATTTTTGTCTCAATCTGATAAGGTTTTGTTTCTGTTATAACTATGTGAACTCTGGACAAGCCAAAACTTCATACATATGACATATTGAATCCTGTGACTTGATGATGAGATTTCTTTCCACAAATTGACAATTCTTCCTTTAAACTTGACATAATGTTTATTCTATCCTCTAAGACAGACTTCCTAGGTAACTGAAAACAATTTAGACAATAAGCATGGAAACAATTAATTTCCCATTTCATATTACATTCAATTAACAAAGCTGCACACATCAGTTATTCCTGTGCTTTGGCAGCCTGCCAGACCTACCAATATAGTCATTCTGTCCAAATAAAGAGTGCTTTTCATCCCATCTATTCTTCACTTGATACTTTTTCATGGCCCTAAATGGTTTATCATCACGTGGAAGAACACCTGAAAATAAATTTAAACATGTCATTCTCTTAGATCAACAGCTTAACATTGTTTCAATGAAGACATTTGCAGCAAAACACATCTGTGTTGTGATTGGAAGGTATGCATTAAATTACCCGATCAGGGTTCTCCCCAGAATTTTTTTAAGCTGATATGTTTCATTTGCAATGAACATTCAAGACGGACACGCTAATATAATACCTTATCAAACCTAGGGGGGGG